TTTTACTTGTAGTAAAATGCATACCTAACTTGAATCCAGCCTCAACAAAATAGTTTTTATTCCAAATTTGTATTTTTCCATCATTAACAGTTCCAGTATTGGAAATACTTGCCATACTTAACAAATAAATATTTAATAACTATCTCTTAAAAAAGAAAAAAAAAGTCCTTATCAGTAATATTGACCGTCTTTTATGTTATAAATAACTCTACTGTATTAGTCCATTCTCACACTACTATAAAGAAATACCTGAGACTGAATAATTTATAAGAAAAGAGGTTTAATTGAATCACAGCTCCACATAGCTGAGGAGGCCTCAGGAAACTCACAATCATGGCAGAAGGTACCTCTTCACCGGGAGGCATGAGGGAGAATGAGTGCTGAGCAAAGGGGGAACCCCCTTATAAAACCATCAGATCCTGTGAGAACTCACTATCATGAAAACAGCATGGGGAGAACCACCCCACGATTCAATGATCTCAACCGGGTCCCACCCTTGACATGTGGGTTTTATTACGATTCAAGGTGAGATTTGGTTGGGGACACAGAACCAAACCATGTCACCCACCATGATAATTTTAAAACACCAATATGATGTCACTGAATGCAGATTTAGGAAAAGATTCACACCATTGAATCTCATGAGTCAATTCCAACCAGCCCCAGCACACTACCAGATAGTCCCCTAATTACTAACTACGGTTTCATGAAACTATTAGAGTTCATTGTTTTTACCTTCAATTTCATTGTAATAGAGAACAGAGTTTATGTAGAGAGGAACTTAGAGCTCAGAATCATTGATTGTCAAGATAAATTGGCTAAATTTATTAAACTGAAAGTAGCTATCATAATTTATGTAAAACTTTCAGTAGGAACTTAGAAATTGTCCTGTCTCAAGTCAAATGTACTCATTAACTCAATATGCATAATTTCCAAATGTCTCCTCGTAGGAAAGAATATAATCTAATTCACTTCTAATTCACTCTCATATCAGATAAAATATAATACATAGATTTGAAAACAATGTGGGTATAACGTGGAAAAATATTTTAGCTCTCATAAATATCCTTAACTCTATCTGTAATCGAGAATGAGAATGGACAATTCTCTAGTCTTCTAACTAATCTTGCAATAGGACTGCTCTCATACCCAATTACCTAAGGGAGAGTAAAACTTACAATATACTACAAAATACTTTAGTGGTTATTATCTATGAAAAGTATTACCTACAACTTCCTTAGCAAAGTCTCTGTGCAGAAGAATTCTCACATATTCATGCAAAGCGAAATCTTCACACTAAAGGTTGTTTTTGTTTTTACTCACCAAAGCAGGTCTTCTACAAACATAAACAGTGAATTACCTGCTTTTTGGGGGATGATATGAGAATATAATTTTCCTAGGATGGACAAGTGCAGGCTTCATTACCAAAGTGACTGCAGATATTGAATGGCCCAGTGAGAAAATATTTTCAAATGTAATAATTTGCAGTTCTGAAAAGAACATGCCTTTGAAAATGTCTGATTTCTTGCCCACATTTTCCCTTGTAAAATCTCTAGTATCTTTGTCTAATTTGATGCTTGTATTATTCTGAGAATATCTAATTGTTAGTGGTATAGTACTATAAGTTTACAATTTAAGAGCATTAGCTCAAACTGAAAAAATAAGTTCAATTACATTGTATTCTTGTTTTAAGTAAGGATAGTTAAAAAAACTAAAGGTATAAATCTAATGTGTTTCAAAATAGTTATTTTGTCTACCATTTATATATTACTCTTTGTAAAGAGCTCTTTATAATCATGATGTATGGATAAAATAAAATGTATCTACCTTTGGATATAGCAATCTTTTATAGTTGGGATTTGTAATAAAATATGAATTACTTCAATGTGAAATTGGACACCAGAAAGATCTTTTTTGTAGTAGACCTCAAGATCAGATCAAAGATAATCTTTATTCCTTTTTTTTAAGATAAAAACTACTTAGCTGATTTTCTTCTGAAGAAAATATCTGAGTTTATTTCAAAAAACCTTTCATGACACAAACCCTAGGTACATTTTATTCAATTATTCATGTATTATCCTATGCCAGTAAAAGATCTAAAGATGTAGCAAGATGCTAAATGATTACAAACCACAAAAATGTCATAAGAGAAACCAGGGCTAATTAAATTTACAACTGATTTTAAAAGATTAACAGCATGGAGCTGTATATGTTACACTGGGATATTTCTAATTACAGGAAAGCATCCAAATCAATAGATCAAATACCCATATTTGCTGTTTCCAAGGAAGAAAAGACAATTGCAAATGCATTGTCTTGAAATGCTTTTAAACACTGAGATTTTTACCTTTAGGTTATCTGTAGTTAATGTCTGAAAGAGTAAAAGTTCTGTTTCTGTTTCAGGTTATTCATTTTGTAATAAACAATTTTCTCCCAAAGCATAGGGCTTCCCGTGGGTAGTACTCACATTATGATTATTGAAGTCACGTACATCAACCATAATCAGTCAAAAGTATTGTTCCTTGAGGAAATGAATTAAGAGTATGCAGTTGTGACGGGAGAAATAATAATTGTCAAAGTTTCACATTGCTGTGACTCCTCATCAAATGAGGAGCTGAGAGTAATGTATAAAATCAATCTAATGAAGCACAAACTTGTATTATCAATGTACATTATAATCATCTGTCTTCAATTTTAAAAAATCTGATTACAATGTAAACAAAAATCTTCAATAGCGCTACTAAAATATGTTTAAACACCTAACATAAAATTTATTTTTATATCCCTCAAGGCATTGCTACAACACACTCTTGTTGTGTAAATTTCCCTTGACATTTAAGTAGGTCTGGACATAATCTAAACAAATTCTTAAGTGTGCTTTTTCTGGTATTACTGTTTGCCCCACCACATTATATTTTTGCTGTGCACAACAAGTTGCTATGAAAAAAAAAAGTCTTTAATAACAGTAGCCACCCTTTAACTTTAGAATTAACAAAACAAAATCAAAACTGGAATACATATATATATGCACACGTGTGTGTATATATACATATATAACAAAAATGCTGGTTTTATAAATGTACAGAAACTAAAATATTCAAAGCAAATATTAGTTTATCTTTTACTTAAGGGCCTCTAAACCCTTAAAGGAAATGACCTATCAAAAATATAAAGATATATATTGAAAATTAGATAACATGTTGGACCATTTATATATTACTCTTTGTAATGAGTGGCAACTCGCCCCACCTGATTTAGATTCCTAACAAAAGCTTAATTTCACAGATAAAAATACAACAATTCAATTATTGCATTGTTAAAGTGACTCTCAATAGTAGCATCGAGTATGGAATGTTACATATACGTAGATTAATTTTTCTTTAGATATGAAGTTAAACTACCCATTTCCAAGACACACAAATTTACATGAATGTCGTTTTCAGAATATCTTTGTGGATCCTTTTCTCATTTCCCCCACGCTCTGGCAAGTTTAGATGTAGCATAATGATAAATAGAATGAATTTGTAGAATTAATTCCTAAATTAACACTTTTTTTCCAAAACAATGATCTGCAACAGATTTATAGTAGATATCCCTCTGCAGTTTTCAGATAATTATAGCTGCAAGGTTATTGTCCAGTAAAATGTATAAACGATAGCAATTTTAAAGCAATGTATGAAACTACCCAACATATTTTTTCACATTTTTTTTTAGGGTATCTACTTAAAGCCAATTCTATTAACCTTGGCACTGAATGCTAAGGGCATTCTATTTAAGAAAGTTTTCCATTCTTCACTTTAAAATTTAAGAAGCTTGTTAGATAACCTAAATAATGGAGTGAAAAAAAGAAGGAAACTGTGGTTTTAAATTCGAAATAACTGATTTCTCCCCAAAACTGTCAGAAGCACCATTGTTTGGTGACTTATAGCCATCATTATCAACTCGTACTACTTGTGAAAAGACCTTACTAAAGTTCTGAAGAAATTCTGCTGTACTATCTTCTGAACACTTTGCTAGTGTGCAATTTACACAACTCCTGCGTTTCTTACTAACTTTACTTTTCTTTTGTGATCTTTCCTTTAACCTCACTTCAGTAATATACTTGGACAGTGACTTCATACCTCTGTCCTCTTCAGCATCCACCAATGTGCATAAAGAAATCTTGAATGGTCCTGTAATTCTAACGTCCACAATTTGCTGCGTCTCCAAAGGCGAGAGGAGCAGGTTCAGGCAGCTGAAAAACTTCATCCTTAGAGAGAGCTTAACAGCTGCTTCCATTTACAGCTTTAAAAACGTATGCTGGTTTACAAGAGTTTGCATATGTAGGCCAGACTACCAAACACCAGAAGATTTATTACAAATGAAATTTACACGTGCATGGGGGTGGGAAGCGCTGCAAAAACCTTAGACTTCTCACTTCTGCTGCTTTACTGATTTTCAACTCGTATAGTTGTATCTCGGGCATGCAAGTCTTCCTGCCTAGCGCTCTGACGTTTTCCTTCAGCACAGCTGAGGTGAAACTTCTCAGATTTCTTAACTCTGCACTTGGCCACGCCCTGACAAGGCAAGCTGTCCTTCGCCGTCCCTCCCTCCCTTCCTCCCTTCCTCAAGCTACCACAGTATTTATTTTAACTCAATCTGACCAATCCTTTGTGTTTACTTTTTAAAACAAGCTACCATCCTATAATAAAATTCAATATCCAGTGGGCTTTCTTAAAAAAATAATAAAACCCCCACTGATATCCACTTGGCCCAAAAGGAAAACTTGGGTTTCTGCTTTCCCTGAGAGCAGCACTCCCTTATCCCTGCAAACGCCGCGCCCTGCGTGGTTCCCCGCCCTCCCCACGCGCGGGGGCGCCCTGACAGTCCCCTGCTGCTCCTCTGCTGGGCGCCACAACTTTCCCCAACCCGTGCCAACTTCCAGGGCACAGCCTCTGCGGAGAGTAGCAGGGTGCAGTGAATAACCCAGACACTAAAAAGCAAGGCAGCGGGGGTCCTACCAGCGCGGCTTTTGATGACGTCGGTGAATCCGTCCTCAGCGGCATTTCCTGGGGTCTCCTGCAGACCCCTCAGCTGTGCCATAACCAAACGCCACGTGCCCTAGCTTCCTCACGCCCCAAACTTTGGAAGGCAGGTGGGTCCGCGTGCGGTCCGTTTGATGCTCTCCACAGCAGGTCTCGCTGAGGATCTAGTGTGTCTGAGGATGGATTTTCCCTCCTCCCTAGGCCCTCAGCCACGGAGATAGGGATGCGGGGGGCGCGGGGCGGCTGGGGGGAGCTTGAAAACGCAGAAACACAGACACCTTAGCGTGGGTTGGTTGAAAGAGGGCGCCGTCAAAATGCCCACCCCATCCTTAGAGACGGAAAACAGGTGCTGTTCCCAGCTCCTGGTTCTAAAATAGAGTGGGCGAGGCCTGGAAGGTGAAAGCTGAGGAGGGACCTGGTGGTCAATACACCCACAAGCAAGTTGACGACTCGCTTTTCCACGCTGCGCAGAATCGATGCAAAAACAGGAGCAATTAGGGAGCCGCTTGCCAAAAGCAGCACATGAGGTCATGAATGATTTAGCATTGCCACTTAGAAGATGACTACACTGACAAGAAGGGTCACTGGTGTTAGCTATTCTGGGTCACTTACACGTGTGTACCCCACTTTTGTATCCTGACTTGAGTGCACTGACCAGACATGGGTAATATATGCCGAGGACTATCAATTTTCTTAGGAGATTTCACCAAAGCTGCCCACTCTTCTCTCAGTGCATATGTTCACTCTGACTGTCTCCTCCATTCCTTCCTCCCACCACTGAGGCTAGAATTAGATTGGACTATAAACAGCTCGTATGACTTTATTTTCTAAAAATTTCAGAAGTGACTTTCATTTGGTTAGTATCCTTACTCCCTCCCCCACCTCCCCACACACATAACTCATCCTGCATTTCTTCCTGCAGTAGCCCAATAACTTTAAATCCTATCCATCATCTACTGAAGAAAAATTAACTTTGCAAGAGGAACTTGGCAAAGGACCTAGCAATAGCTAAGGATTTTCTTTTCTTGTTTTCGTCTGCATTTTCATTCAAAGTAGATTCTTATCCTTTTCTAAAACACTGGCTCTCAACTATGACTAGACATTGGAATCATCTGTGGAGTTTTACAGAAAAACTGTTTCCTGGTTTCCACACCGAGAGATGCTGATTAATTGTTCTGGTTATTCCAATGGGCAACCAAGTTTTGAAAACATTGATAAAATGGGCTGTACACATTCAATTTGGTGCCTTCTTCAAGACAATTTTGGCAGCGACTCTCTTCCATTCCTATTATAATACCTATGATAAAAACCTAGTATGTTTGCCGTCCTGTTTTTCATTACCAAGTTGACCCTTTTCATGGCAGTGGATACTTTATTTTGACAAAAACTTAGTGGTTAGTCTTGACTACAGAATTTTCTTAGATTAAACCTACGGTGACTCTCAGGATGGATTGTTAACTGGGTACCTTTCAATTAGGTCTTGATCTTGAGAATTTATGCCTATTGGAAATCTGTCTTCGTTGACAGGCAGACCTCTTAGTTTTCCCAAGTATCCATTCTTTTTAGACTCATCAGTTCTGTTTTTAACAATTTCAAGTAGGAAATATTTAGAATTATAGCACAGCTCCTATTAAAGAGAGGTATAAAAGTATGAAAATTATCCAGAATTAAAAAAAAAATCCCAATGGTTGTGACATAGTACATTTTATATTACCAAGCCACCACAATTAGAAGAATATGGTATTGGCACAGGAAGAGACAAAATGGAAAAACAAAATAGTGATCAGAAATAGATCCAGCCAAAGGGGATGTACTAAATATGACATTTTAATTCATTCATTAAAAAACTGAATATATAATAATTATCTTTTCATAAAGTTAGAGTTTCCTATCTTAAACTAAAAAAATTCTAGATAGATTACAGATTCAAATATACAAAAATGAAGCCAAATAAGTGATAAATCTATAGCAGTTTGAGTTATGGGGCATTCTTTACCCAAACACTAATTCCAGATGACTTTAAGGAGAAAAATGGGCCTGGGGCAGTTGCTCACACCTGTAATGTCAGCCCTTTGGGAGGCCAAGGCTGGCAGATCACTTGAGGCCAGGAGTTCAAGACCGGCCTAGGCAACGTGGCAAAACCCCATCTCTACTAAAAATACAAAAACTAGCCAGGCGCGTTGGTGCCAGCCTATAATCCCAGTTACTCGGGAGGCTGAGGCAGGAGAATTGCTTGAACCCAAGAGGCAGAGGTTGCAGTGAGCTGAGATTGGGCCACCGCACTTCAGCCTGGGCCACTCCATCTAAAAAAAAAAAGAGAAAAATGACACTTGCTACTACATAAAAAATAAATATTTCTATACAGCCAAAGGTATTATAATAGAGCAAAAAGACAATAAACTGAGAAAATACACTTAGAATATCTATCACAAAGACTTAATATCTCTATTTTAATAAAAGTCTACAAAGTGATTTGAAGACAAAAATATAATATAAAAAATTAATATATAATCTGAACAGAAAAGCCACAAAAGAGGACAGGCAAATAGTCAATACAATTATGAAGAGCTAGTCAATATTCTCATAGTCAAAAAGGCAAAATGAAATAACATTTCCTGCCCATGAGCTGGATGAGAAAACAAACAGATGGAATAACATTCAGTGCTGGAATGGGTGTGAGAAAAGAAGCTCTTAATAATCTCTACTGGTAAAGTATTGATAGAGTATTTTAAGAAAGTAACCTGAGAATAGCTATGGAAGAGTCCACAATCTTTTGCCCATCAATCCCTCCTTAAGAATCTATCAAAAACAAAATCACTAGTATGTAAAGATATATGTAAGATTGTTTACTGAAGCCATATCTAAAAGAATACATTCATTGAAATCACTCCAAATGTCTTTCAACTCAGAACTCACTGAAGCAATCTCATTATACCAAACAATGGAATATTTAGTACCTACTGAAAGTATGTTACGTACCCTATACAAATTATTATCAGACTAAGTACAGTACTATATTCAAAGAACAATATATCACAACAAAACTGGGTGTATTTGGGCAAGGAAGGGTCATTTTTATTCTTTTTCATTTCAGAATTTTTTTTAGTTTTTAATTTTTGTGGGTACAGAGTAGGTATATCTATTTATAGGTTATATGAGATATTTTAATACAGGCACACAATACATAATAATCACATCAGGGTAAATGGCGTATCTATCACCTCAAGCATTTATCCTTTCTTTGTGTTACAGACCATCCAATTATACTCTTTAAGTTATTTTAAAATGTACAATAAATTATTGTTTACTGTAGTCACCCTGTTTTGCAACCAAATACAGATCTTATTCATTCTATCTAACTAAAACTTTTGTACCTATCAACCATCTCCACTCTCCATCCCATTACCTTTCCAATCCTCTGGTAACCATTATTCTGTTTTCTCTCTTGATGAGTTTAATTGCTTTAATTTTTAGCTCCCACAAATAAGCAAGAACATGCAAAGTTTGTCTTTCTGTGCCTGGCTTATTTACTTAACATAATGACTTCCGGTTCAATCCATGTTGTTGTAAATGACAGGGTATCATTCTTTATATGACTGGATAGTTCTCCATTTTGTATAAGTAGCACATTTTCTTTATCCATTCATCTGTCGATGGACACTTACGTTGCTTCCAAATCTTGGCTATTGTGACTAGTGCTGCAATAAACAAGAGAGTGCAGTTATCTCTTTTATATACTGATTTCTTTTCTTTTGGATATATACCTAGCAATGAGATTGCTGAATTATATAGCAGGTCTATTTTTAGTTTTCTGAGGAACTTCCAAAGTGTTCTACATAGTGGTGGTTCTAATTTACGTTTCCATCAACAGTATAAGAGGGTTCCCTTTTCTCCACATGCTCACCATTTGTTATCACCTGTCTTTTGGATAAAAGCCATTTTAACTGGGATGAAATGTTATCTCATTGTAGCACTTGAAAACCAAGCAATGTGAACCATCACATTAAAAATATGAAGGATGAAAACAAATATAAAAAAGTATTGGAAAAAATTAAATCCCTCACATGAGCACGTGCGCTCTCACGCGTGCACACACACAAACACACACACACCCTTCGTGGGAAACTAGGAGTAGAAGAGATGTAACTTGATCTGATAAAATATATCTATGAGTAATCTACAACAATGTACTCAATTAATATACTACTCAATATAATAAGTCAGGAAAACGAAATTAAAAGCATACAGTTAGAAAAAACTTTTATTATTTACAGACTAAACATGCATAGAAAATTCAAAGAACCATGAGATTAAAATATTAGAATTAATAAATGGATTTAACAAGGCTTCTAGATACCATGTGAATATCCAAAACTTAATTGTAATTTTCAAGACTAAACAATTAGAAAGTGGTATTTTTAAAAAATAATGCCATCAATAAATCAAATATAAATAAATGTATAAAATATGTTTGAGATACCTAAGCAGAAACATATATTATGAATGAGAGGATTTAAAGAAAATGTATCTAAATGGAGGACTATATTGTGTTCATGGGTTGGCAGAATCAATGTTATAAAGATGTAAACTCTCAAAAATTGATCTGTAGAGTCAGTGAAATCCTAATCGATAGCATCAGGAGTGTGCCTGTGTGTGTGTGCGCGCGTACATTATAAAAATTTATGTGGACATGCAAAGGTCCAAGATAGCCAAGACAATCTTTAAAAGAACAAAGTGGGAAATTTTATACTAACAGATATTACCAATTATTATGAAACAGTTGAAATTCAAACAGTATGTTTTTGGTGTGAATACAGATAATTAGAACAATAGAACAGAACAGAAAGTCTAAAAACAGGCTCACACATATATAGTTACCTGATTTATAGCAAAGGTGACACTGTAGTTCAGTAGGGAATGAATCGCCTTTTCTATAAATTATGTGGGATCAACTGGAGATTAGATTTTAGACTTAAATGTGAAAACTGTGAAAGAAAAAAATAATTTTAGAAGATAACATAGAGAATAGCTTCATGACCTTGGTGGGGACATTTTTTAAACAAGATATAAAATCACCAGCTTAAAAATATTGGCGTATTGGCTTCATTAAAGCAAGAAATTTTACTCACCAGAAGGCTTCACTAGGAAATCTCAGAGTGGGAAATGATATGTTAATGAAAGGTTATATTAAACAAGCAAATTATACTTTAATATTTACA